TTCAAGTAAACAAGCTTTTTGTGGCAGACCCAGAGGGTCCTGTACTGCTGATAACCACAAAGATCTCAGTATAACACAAACTGATAGAACCTGATAATTCCTCCCCAGAAACTAGTGATGGTTCATCTGATTTTAAACAGTGTTAATCAGAGCCCTCAAAAGCAAGGAAATGTGAGTATTAAGGTAATTAAAGTATAGGCAATCATAATGACTTGCAGAAATCATTTTCTAAATGAATGCAGTTTAACTAATCATGCACAATGCACACATCTTTAATTAATGTAAATAGAGACTGCAGTATGATGCACACACTGAGGATGAATGAATTAAAATTGCAGCCAGTTCTTAACTCATGAGTGCTCGACAAACACAACGTCCTCTATAATGCTATTTTAATATAGCATAACACAAAAAGCTGGACAAACACTGTGCATTTTGCATCCACAAAGAGGAAAGCTGGGCAGAAGACCAAGTGCAAAGCAAGCTCTAAATGTGTCTGTGGCTACAGCCCAAGTACTGTAACTGCGGTCCTTCCTCGAGATTCTACAGCTCTCAGAATTACACTTATATCCCTTTCAGCATCACTCCCATAAATATTTAAAACCCAAGGCTGTTTGGAATGTCTCTCCTTTAACTGTTATCACCATCCTAATGAAGCTAATTAAATATAACCCAGCAAGATTCATGCCATCCAGCACGCTGACTATGGAATATGCCTTGCTGCACTTTGCTTCTCTGCCTCCTCTGTACTTTGCTGTACAGGTACATCACACTTAGTCATAAAATCATTGTTACTTCTCTGGATGAAGTTTTTTGCTTTGTCACTAAACCTGCATGAAGAATAAACTTGACCCAACTCAACACTGAGGAATTTACGCCCAGTTTACAGGTACTGCTTACATGCCCCGCATTTTTAGAGGCATTATTCATTTTAAACCCAGATATTCCCATGTTATCTTAGAAATACACCATAATTTCCATGTCACAGTAAAAAAAAAAAAAAAAAAAAAAAAACCCACACAAAAAGTAACGAAACAAAAAACAAACACAAACCTTCAAAATCACACCTGGTAGCAGAGTTACAGACTCATTGAACCAGGATGGCATTTACACAACAGACATTTAGCTGAGAGCCTTTCCAAGTTCCCAATGTGTCCAGAGGATTGCTAACACCCTGTGTACCTTAGCTGGACTCTGTGACCTCCAGGCAGGAGGTCTGAATAAGAACAAATTTTGGCCTGTGGCCTTTACCTTTCCATCTCTGGAATGAAATAAATACACACAGATATCTTGAAGTAAATTTTCTGGCATGTGCTGCAGGGAGGTTTATAAAAGTATAAGTGATGCTAAAACACACAACTGAGCTGACACAAGGAATGCTTTCCACTATAAGCAACAAGAGAAGGGGGTATTGACTTTTCTGTTCTATTTGAAGTAAAACTACTATATTTTTACATACATTGTTTAAATGTATGTTTTCACAGAAAAAATAAAGCCAACTTGTCCTGGCCCTATAGTATATCTGCTAAAGGAGAAAATATGCAGCCCAGCAAGTTTTCCCTCCAACCTTTCTTTTCAGGCAAGTAATAAATCTTGAGTGAAAAAGTTACTGTGCTCTTCAGCTGTCACCACTAAGATTTTGTTTTTTAAAACCATAGCAGCCTTAAGGCTGATTTACTACTCAGCCCTCCACACTCTGACAATCGAATAGTTGGAAACAAAAGTCACTTTTGCACACCTGGAAATATTTTATTTGCTGTGCTCATGAGAAAACAAAGTTTTCATCTGTGAGGAAGGAGGCAAGGGGAGAAAGGGAAACGAGACAGAAGGGAGATTGAGGTGAATCTTAAAATCTGGTTCTTGACTTGAAATACAAATATATATATATATATATGTATATATGAACCCCAAAACTATCTCTGCATAGTAAAAGTACTCAGGATCTTTAGAAACCATGGATTTGCTAAGTAATCCAGCCTCAAAGCCTGGAATTCTCAGCCCCTTGAAAGTCTCAGCCAGTAAACAGCACTGCTCATCAACTGTGTCAATTCAGCCATTTCAGTTTGGCAGGTGAAAAGAACATGTGAAAACTTCTAAATAATTTTATTGTACTCTTTTGCTCTTCTTTTTTTAAAAAATAAAGGTAATAAGATTCTAATCACCCTAAATTGTAAAGATCTGATATTAATAAAGGCAAAGTTGAACCTCTGAAAAACTTTTCAGAGCACCTCTCTACCCCAGAGCTGCAGGTTTAAGAAAATTTAGGGAAAAAACTCAAACACATACTAGAGAAAACCAATTGATGGAAAATGTGATGGTGCCAAAATTGTGAAAGTATTTTAGAATATCAGATCCTCTTTTCCATGTCATGTAGTTTGATATAATTTTTCCCTAAAGCTTCATTTTCTGAAAATTTATTATATGCTCCAGAACAATCTTGTCTTCAAAAGAAATCCCACATCTTCTGTTATTTCAAAGAGCCATACTTGCACCTGGGCAAGATGATGTAAGTGCTCTAGGTGCTGGCTGACTGAAAAGGAGACCCACAAAATCTCCCTCTCTGTTTTTAATCCCAGGGTTTTACAAGAATATGAGGAGTGTCCTTTGACAAGCAGAGAGGCATTTCAGCATTTAAAGTAAAAAAAAAATAAAATAATTAATGGTCCAGCAGTGTGGACAGACTTGGTGATTGCATTGCCACACTTTGATTCCTGCTCCAAAATACTGCATCACAAGAATACAACAGGTGGGAAAGTTAAATGTTCCTGCACCATTTCCTTCTAAAAAGCACCCAGTCTTGGATCCCCTGTACTCCAAATCTGGATGAAATCTGCACAGTTGAGAAATGGCAGCAAGAGACTTGTCCCCCTTTTCCTTACTCTGCTCCTTCCCTACCACTGAAAGACACATGGATGGATTATGTGGCTTCTAAATCTACAGGGAAATAATAATAATAATAATAATAGTAATAGTAATAATAGTAATAGTAATGGAAAACTGAAATCCTACCAAGTCACAGTTGTAACACAGGAATAACTTTTAGTGAGATGTATCTGGCCAAAACAGAGATCATAAATAGGCAAATATGTAAATAGGAGAATATATGACGTGGTACAGAGGTAAGATTGTGCCACTGCATCTGACTGCATCACCTGCTTTGTAACAGCACATACACATCTCCAGACAATAATGAATAAACGTGCAAGATTCTTTCCTATTCCTTTTAACTTGCAAAACTGAAGACTTAAATATTTGAATTTCTTCCATGTGCCTTCAGAAAGGCTGAACTTTGATGTTTTTAAAGAGGAAAGATTATTCACTTTTGCTGCAGGCAAGAAATTATAATTTCTTTACTGATTCTGCCAAATGGTTCTATCACACATTTTTTATTTTCATCAAAACAAGCCACTTTAAATTAAGATTGTCCCATAACTACATAGTAATCAACATTTTGAGGGGCAGATCAATTTGATAACTCTCTGCCTCATTTCTCTGCCCAGAAGATTCCTTCAAACCCAACTGAACCATAGAGGAAGAGAGTTTTACTCCTTTTTCTCATGCTTGGCAGTTGCTAGGAAGAGTATCAGCTGCAGTTCTGTTTTATTTTGTTCATGCAACCAGAACAGAAAACTCAGTGTTATCCACATGACTCAAGCTAAATAAGCTAAATTCAAAGCCAGTAGTTAATAGAATGAAGTCAACAAAGCTTACATAAGGAGCAGCAAAACTTGCAGGTGATGGAAAAGGAAAAAAGTAAGAAGGAAGACTAGGGAGCAGGAAGTTTTTTTAAAAGCAAAATAAACATGCAAAAGGAGGCAGGAAAAATCCCCTGCACCAGCACAATATGCAAAATACATGTTTTTATAGCAACCAGCAGGATGATTGGAAATGGGGAGCCAAGCACTGCCCTCCTGTGCTAACAAAGCACTTGTAAGGGTTCAGCTCTTCAGTACTCTGGTACCAGGGCAGCTTCCAGTTTAAATTAGACTGAAGCCCACAAATGCAGACAAAATCCAGACCATCATCAATCTGGAGACAATGGGCAATGCTGACAGCACAGCTTCCCATTAATCTTCATCTGTCCTATCACATCCTGTCATTCTTATGCAAATAGCATATTTGAGGATACATCTTTTCTGCACCCCAAGATAAGGAGAAGTGAAGCTGTCAGGAGCACCAGGATGTCATCCTGTACCACGGGGCCATCCCTTCACTCAGCACCTCGTGTTTTACATCACAGCTAAAGTGTTTGACATTCAAATTTGACCCAGCAGGAGGGAAAACCATCCGATGCAGCAACCTGCATATTGCTTCCTGTGCTGAAACACTCATCGAGGTCCCTGGGGATCTGACAGTCTCCCTTTCTTCCCTGTGTACCCTTGTTAAGGGAGTTTGAAATGCTGCTTAAGAGGGGGAAAAAGAAAGATTTGCATGGGTAGGTAATGACACCAATTCCCAATTCACCCTTCTCACACTAGAACTAAGCCCAGCACTAGAGGACTAGGAAAATAGGTTCCACTGACAAAAGGAAAAACGGGGCACACAAATGAGTTGGTCTAGGTTTTCTTCCATGGAAATCTGTCTCACCATACCTGAAAACTTGTTCACATGTATGTCCAGACAGAATGTTTCATTTCAAGCTGAGCAATTTATACACAGGGTTCAAAAAATTTTATGTGGGGATGAGTGATCTCTCATTAGGACAACTGATGCATAGGAAAATAAAAACAGGCTTTGAATCATAAGCAGCTCCATAAAGTTACTGCTTCATATTTTAGGCATGAAAAATCACTCCTGAGTGGGTAAGTCACCAAAACCAAAAGGCAGTTTTTCCAGTTATTGCTCATTAATTCTGCTTATAGAATGAAGAAGAAAAGTTAAGATTTTACTATTATTACTGACTCAGAGTGTTTTGTTTCTGTATCACTTTCAAAGAATGTTCAGAACATCTTGTTCCAGAGTATTTCCCTTCCAAGAGAAATCACTTTCTGTACCATACATGGCTGAAAACAGTACGTGCTGGGTTTATATTCTTACAGAAAATAGAAACAATTCCAAAGTCTCCCCAGCATCACATGAATGAGATGCAAAGTAGCTGAGACACAAACACGAGATACAACTTTAAGATGCAATAATATTTCAATACAATCATGACATCTTAGAGAAATATGTTATTAACAGGCATCTGTAACAAGTCCAAACAAGTTCCCCATTACACATAACTTTGTATAAAGTCTGACTCAAATCTATTCAGTCTCCGAAAGCAACGTGCTGTGGTGTTTCCAGGGACAGTGAAGTCTGCATAGGCTCAGGGGAATACCCTTATTTTTGATATCCCCACGTGCTGTTTGCAAATTACAAGAGATTAATCATCACATCATTGTCAGTTAAGCAGGAGCCACATAAATTAAAATGCTGGATGGATTGTTACCAATTTTGCAGGCATAAAACACACATTCCTCAAGCATTTTTTGCTTTGAAAAGCTGAAGAATATTCACAAAAAAACTATTCCAGACGTTTTTGCAGTCCTTGGAAATAGAGAGCAGAAACTGCATTGCACTTTTATACCATATGTAAAAGTCATGCCTTAAAAAAATATCACTGTATGGTCACCATGCATACCTATAAAAACAGGACACTCATTGTCATACATAACTATTTCCATATAAAATATTAATTTAACAAATTCTTACCTTCTCAAACGGATCACCAATTACAGAGTAAACTACAAGCCCCCACTAAAAGATTTCCCACTACTGAAGTACAAATGCTTTCTGGTGTCATCTTCTTTCTTCCAGGGAAGGGAAAAAGTACAACTCATGCACTGCAAATATTGCATGGACCTAGGAGAAGACAGTGGCCTGCTACACCCTGTCTGGTATGGATAACAAAACTGTGTTGTTCATTTTTGTTCATTTTTAAAAGTTTTTTTCATTTTTAAAAGTTCACCACTCCCATAAAATTCATATGTACAGAAGAAATATGAGAGATACACAAGACATTTTTATGCATCATATCAAAATGAAAACTTTCTTTCCCAGGCTAAGAGGTCTGGATTTGCATCTGGAGTGATGTAGGTACAGTACACAGGAACTTAGCTTCTGTCTTAAAGTCCTCTGTATTGCAGGGTGGCACTCTTAACTTGTGGTATTTTTGTTCCAATGTTGCCAGTATTTCAAATAAAACCTCAAATAAGAGAAAGCAGTGTTCACTGTGTGCCCAGGAGAAATCCAGCAAAAGGAAGAATGTCAGATAATTCAGTTCCCAGGTGGTGATGGACACAACACAGTAGAACACTGAACAGACTCCAAAGGAAATTTCCCTACTATTCAACAATCAGAATGCTTTCAAATTCAGCTTAGCCTTACTGACTTAGAACAGTCACCAAAAAAACCCAAAATCAATTTGACAAAAGTGAAATCTTGGAAGTTTCAATCTTGCACAGGCATACTTTTCACTAATGAGTTTTATTATCTTTTACTGAAAACTCTTTGCTGGTTCTGATTTGCCATGGCAGGCTCAGAGATAAATGCACGAATAAGCTCTGAGGAAGCTAAATGGTTTTAAAGCGGATTTTCTAGAGGCCTGCTGGGTTGAGTTTGCTTGGAGGTTTTCTGCAGGAAGTGTTACAACCCTCCAGATTTTACAAACTTTAAATGTTCTTGTCACACCGGCAGAGCTGCCATGGGATTTGAGGAGAAATTTCCCTGTTTACAGTTGGAAACAGAATTGCTGAGACACTTAATCCTTGAAAGGAAGTAACTAATGAAACCAACAAACTCCAGCGAACTCCTGCATAAACAAACACAACAGAAGCAAAAACCACAGCAGCAGTTTGACAGAAATGTTGCTGCACAAGTTCAATGAGCTTGACTTACAGAACACTTCTCCTAGGAAACAGATATTTAAGGCTACCCGAAAGCATTTTTTTTTTTCTGTTAAAAATTCTGTAGAGAGGGGAAAAACAGTGAGGGACATGAACCATTCCTCTACCTTGTCTTCATTTCCAGACTTCTACTCTTCATCATTAAATTGATCAGAAAACAGTTTGAAAAGTAAAAGAGGGTGGGATTATTATACCAAAATTTGGTATTTTCAAGAGGAACAGGATACAGACAGTGCATCTATTTGTACCTTGTCTATCATGTCCGGTCTGTTTGTAGCTGCCAGAATTGTCACGTCCTTCAGCTGTTCTATCCCATCCATTTCCGTCAGCAACTGAGCCAAGACACGGTCTGCTACATTCCCAGCACCTGAAGAGCTGATTTATAGAAAAAAAAAAAAAAAAAGTCACAGCATGATCTTTCCCTTCCTAGAAATAGGAGAAAGGAAAAGATGCACTATTCTTTCCAATTTACAGAGATGCACTTTTTTGTCTTAATTCTTCGTAATATTTATTTTCACCTTCAATCTCTGAAACAGAATCAGTGATATGAAGTAAAACCAAATCAGAGAATTTGAGTTCCATAAATTTTCTTGGTATTCAGCAAAACAACTGAGATTTTGGGGTTTTTTACTTATTGAACTGCTACAGAGGTTGTAAAGAACATAGCACAATGTGGGTATCTGGAATAAACTTTTTTAAGCAAACTGAATTCACACAGCTTCTTTACTAGTCAGACAAACTTTCATTTTCCTTTAACTCAGTTCGTTTTCCAGATACCAGGGAAAAAAACCCAACACTGAAAAAACTGAGAACTCCAGCTTTGAAATCACCAATATGTGAAAAACCTAAGCAGACAAAGTATTCCCTCTGCTGAGAAGGGGCAAGGAAACTGAAGCAGGCTAGGGACAGCAGCTGGAGACTGTACCCAAACAGAGAGTTTTATACTCCTTTGCCAGAAACTGGGAATTCTGCTTGTGGCACACACCTAAAACTCGCTGTTTTCCATACAACCTTTCCTTGTGGATGGCAGGCACACACCTCCATCAATTTTCACTAATGGGGCTGATGTCCCAGGGTTATTCCCTCCTCTGCTGCACAGAGGAAGGTTTCACTTCTCTACCCTTAAATAGGCTCTTTTCAATACAAGTTGAAAAAATTAATCTCTCCCATTCTTCTGGATCCCTATAAACAAAGAAGACACTTGAAACAAGACCAAATCTATAGGGGATTAAGATAATTTTTTAATTTCAAATTTTTTGAAAGCCCTTTTCCAGAAGTTCTCCTTAATGTTTATACAGGTAAACAGGCACCTACACACACAGAGGTGCAGTACGATCATCCTGATGTTTTCATTTTCTAAAAATAAAAATATTAAAGATACTAAAACATAAGTGCTCCAAGTATTTCCATACAACAGAGAGTGCACAAATACAGCTGTACAGTTATTACACACATATATATGCAGCACTGCCACCCCACCACCAGCCTACCTGCAACCACAGTGATGTCCCAGAGCCAAATCAACAGTAATGGCTCCAAATAAATCCCCTAACTTTCCTATCCTACAACTGGTTCTGCAATTTTCCAGAGCAAAACAGTGAACTTATCACACCCAGTCTGGAAAACATCTTTAAGGAGCTATAATAAATGTTGGCTAAGAGAGTAAGATATTTAGGTTGTTAAGAAATATTAGAGAAGGGACTTGGGTTACCTGCTTGTCAGCTTTTGGGGTTTCTGCAGCCAAACTGGAAATTCCCAAGCCATATTTGAGCATTTCTAACATACCCATGGGTCAGAGTCTCAATGACTTATAGAGAGCTGAGTGTGATAAAACACTTCAGGCATTAGACATGGATAGAAAATGCTTTTGGAGAGACACACAGCTTAAAGGAAATTACAATCAACTTTGTAACATTAGCTAGTCTCAGTAGGGATCCAGGCCTCCCATCTTGCACGAGTTTCAATTTTACTCCACTTTATACCAAACAGACTGAGCAAAAGAAAATGTTAAGCAAAGGAAAAAATAATTGTAAAACTGGGACAAAAATGGTAACGTTTTATGAGTTATAAGACTTTGGAGGAGATGCTAAACTTTTCTTTGTTTCCTTAAAAATAAATAAACAAACATTTAGTTTTAGAGAGAGGTGGCTAGAACGGATATTACATCTTTCCCCAATATAAACATTTCTCTTACAAGCTTCAGAATGAAAAACACCAAAACAAACCCAAACCCACAACACACTAAAGAAGTGTTTATTCTAAGGAAAATCCCCAAAGAGATTTGCACATTGCAAAGAATTCCATGCAATCAGGGCATCATCAGCAAACTGCAGTTAGGCAATCACTGATTGTAAATATCAATAACAAAACCCCCTATAAAAAGCCCAGGCAGGCACAGGGAGATATCTCTTCCCCAGCTGCTGGGAGCTGCCTCACAGCCATGGTGTGCGCTGAGAGCTCCAGTGCTGCCTGAGCCGTTAATTCCAGCGGTGAGACGCAGGGACGCGATTTTCCATTTTCCCATGGTTTCCCAGCAAGGCTTCCAAATTAACACAGGCAACGTTCATTAAGGCAGCCCGGAGTTTTGACGCAAACACCAGCCAGAGAAACAAACCGTGATCGACCCTCCAGTCCCAGGGAGGCAGTGCCAAAACCAACTTCCAGCCAAGGGGCTGCCTTGGCCCCCCGCCCCTGCCTCCACCTGACCTCCACACGTTGATGTCATCCTCACAACTGCCTGGAAATGGTCCTCCAAAGGCACGTCCTGGTACAAACTAATTTCCTGTCAACACGCTGCCTGCAAATCCAGGCAGCCAGAGCTAAGCCCCTCACATAATCCACGCAGGGCCATGTGTGTGCATGGCTGTGTGCACGCAGGAGCCGTGCCCCAACCAGAAATACCTTTGAAATAAAAAATGTGTGAGCAAAGAGGAGCCTGCCTGAGAAGTTCAGGCGACCGCTGCTGCTGCCCCAATGAAATTCATTAGGCTGTGTGTTGGTTTAGTTTCTTGCCAAGCCCATTTTATTTACAATCCTCGATGAAGTTTTTAAAGGTAGAGAAGTTACAGCATTTAGGGACAGAAATCCTCCTCTGTATGATATTCCAGCTAATACTGCAAGGGTCCCACCAGTCTCAGACAAAGCACATGTGCACTCTGCACAGGCACTCAGCTTGACCACCAGAGAAGATTCCTAAAGCCTGTCAGGTAAGACTATCCACAGTGAATATGAAAGACAAACCTGTTCTTGGTATTTTACTCTGGCCAAAGGCATTCCCAACACAAATTTTGGCAGAATAAACCGGGTATCCTACAGTTTACCAAAGACTCACAATTAATCTGAATTAATTCTGCCTTTATCTGGTGGACCTGAGATCAGGAGCACCGGTTCCAAAATCAATATAAAAGGACAGGGCCCTCCACAGCTTTTATTTCTATCTCCTCTGGCCTTATCCAATGACTGTTCAAGCCAGCTGGATTCATATATCAGTGGGCACTGAAATTTCCCCCTGGACATCTTAAACCACCCTCACACTTTTTCCAGGGGATATGAAAGGAACCACAGCCTGATCCTATCACTGCACCAAGGAGTACATACAGTTCACTAGCTTATACAGATCTTCAACTTCAAGCCAAGAAGATTCTGTTTCCAGACATAACCAGATGTATGAAATCACATTTAAATCTGTTACCCTTCCTGCTATAGGCATATTTTTGACAGCAACTTCTTGTTTTGTACACTTTTACTTATTTAATTTCCTTTCCTCCCCCCCACCACTCTTTTTCTAACAGATTTTTAAATATTTGAAAACTAAAAACAGTCTGAGAATGCAGTCACTGCGGTTTCACCCCACAATGAAATTTGGTAAGCATCACCACTGCGAGCTAAAGCAAACATAAATTTGCATCATCTGACCATCTAAAGCACTTCTGAAAAAATACTCATTTCACTGCCTTTCCAACACCAGATGTCATTTTCACTAAAAAATGTGTTTAAGTCTCCACCACCACTTAAATCTCATAAAGGAGAACCAGTGACTCTCCATCCCACCACTGACTTCAATGGCACTGGAGCCTGTCAGAACACCTTGGTTTCAGAATCAGGACCTTAATTTAATTACACTGCTAAACTGTAGATGTGGAAATGCAGGAAATCTTCACACAATAACATTTTGAGAGCTGTTAACATTACAGCAACTGTGAGGCTGCAAAAGCAGATGGAGGTCTGGGAGAGCCCCTCCCCTGCACAGCTGACCCTACCTCAGGCAGAGCTGTGAGGTCAGAGGCAGAGCTCAGGAGAAGTATCCAGGATAAATTACTGCAGACAGATTAATCCCCACAGAGCTGAAATCTATAATGCAGGTTTTGTGACAAGGGAGTCCAGTTCACCTTCTCTTCCAAAACATCCTATCAGGCAAGATTTACATATGGATAAAAACTGGCTTTATTATTTTTACCCCCCCCCAAAAAAAAAAAGAATAGCAATCATAATAAAAATTTATAGCTTTTAAAAATACTTGTGGACACGGTATCATCTCAAATAACCCTTTCACTGAAACCTCTGGAAATAATTTCATATCAAAACAAATGTAAAACTCATTGACATGACAAAATGCTCAGTATCAAAAAGATTTGAACAGGTTGAAATAGACCCTCCTGGCAGGACTCTCCACATCTCCTTGAACTACAGAGGTAAAAGGTTCGTGAAATACAGAAGTGCCCTGCCAGCAGACTCCCACGCGAGAGCCGCCTCGCTCGCACAGCCTGAAGGATTTTTATTGAGTCTGACATTTGTGTCGGGGCTTTGCAGGGGGAACCTGTCAGCAAGGAGCACCTGCCAAGCCCGGCTTTTCCATCCAGCTGCCGTGATCCTAATTATTTGTCACACTCTTTTACTGCCCTCCCTCATGAACTCAAGTGAAATATGGCTTTGGAAGGTTAAGGTTTTCCTCAGCGTTCAAAAAATAAAAAAATTATCTACTCCAACAGCATTAGCAGAAAAACAGTAACTGCAGGATGGTCAGAGATATTATATTTTGTGGAAAAATTCCATCACTGGGGCATTTTGTCCAGCAGAATGGACACTGCCGTGCCAGCCAGGAAAAGAAGGGTTGTCCAGTATTGAAACACTGGGCCAAATTTTCTTGTGTGAATGTTTTATCATGTGAATGGTACAACTTCAATGACCATTATTCAGACCACTACAGATACCACAGGCTTGGATGTTGTAAAAAAGCCTAAGAACAACATACAGCATGCAAATCTTTAATATTATCACTTTAAGATTCACTATTCATTGAAAAAACAAACAAACCCCAAAACACACACAAGTCCCTTCAATGCTCAGACAAGAAATATTCCCCATAGCTGGGAATT